ACTGACAAGCTCGAATTTATCTGCCTTATCATTAACTGTAGTCGACATATGCACCAGAGCTAGGAAGAAAAGATAGTTGGGAGCACATTCTATCATGGAACAAGGCACTAAACCCTGAGGATGAATTACTAAACCCAGTTCCAAAAGACCTTCCTTGAGCAAAATTAGCATGTTTTTGATGAGAGTGGAACTCGTTTGAGGGTTGATTTTTACGGTCGTCTTCACGGAGAACGTAAAAGAACGAGGTTCGATATCGTCCAGCTATTATGGTTGCTCTATTGGTAAGACTACGCCTAAACGCCATTGATCCGAAGAACAAATAATTCCTCAAACAAAGTAAAAGTAAAGTTAAGAAAATCAAATTAAAACCATAACCAAAGCATGATAAACACATCGAAATTAAAATAAAACGGAAGATATAATATATTGAGATTTTATTTTTTTTTAAAATAAATTATTAATAATATTAATATTTATGTATTATTTTTTTTAAAATAGAGTAAGATTTTATGTATTTAAGGTTTATGTTCGAGTTTGAGTTTGAGGCTTCAATAGACTTAAGTTTAAGATTTTTTTTCTTTCATTTCGAGCTTTTTTGAACTGCTCACGAGCTTCAGTTTAGGATTTCGAGTTCGAGTCGAGCTTGAAAATTTTAAGCTTATGAGTTTTTGAGTCGAGTCGGGCTCTATTTCAGAGTTTTCGAGTCGAGTCGAGCTCAGCAATACTCGAACTTGACTCGGCTCGTTTACACCCGTAGTAGGTAATAAATATCGTCCTCTTGCGGTGGAAAGAATGGGCTGCCGCGATTAACGGTCGTAAAAGGCTGATGGGTTTGTTTTCAACAATAGCCCGTGAAATTTTGCTGGCCTTATAATGATTAATTTAAGGGTAAATTGTGTATTTAGTACCTAAATTATCAGTTTTGATATATTTTAATACTTAAAATTTTATTTTTTCCAAAATTATACCAGAAGTTTAGTTTTTGTTTCATTTTAGTACCCCACCGATAAAAATTAATACGTTTAGTACCTATACTATCAATTTTGGTTCGTTTTAGTAACTAAACTTTCAATTTGTTTCAAAATTTAACATTAAATTTTGAAAATGGGTACTAAAATGAAGCAAAAACTAAAATTTATGTATGATTTTGAAAAATTGCAAGTTTATGTATTAAAATAAACCAAAACTGATAGTTTAGATACTAAATACGTAGTTTACCCTTGATTTAATGATTAGTTACGATAATTCTTAGTACAAACCAAATGACCTCAATGATATGGGACTTGTTATATTCCCTAAAGATCTAGTGTTCAAATACCGGCAAAGATGTGAGCGTTCATTTTCAATTGGCTGAGAGTTTTTGAACAAATATTATGTTGTATTCATCTCTTATTTATAAAAGAATAATTAATTTATAGTGATTTGATAAATTTAATAACTATTTTTATAAATTTCATTGTTAATTGAATCAATTTCAAGTTGTCATTAGAACATTGTGGTTTTCTTTTGTTTGCTGGCTTATGGAACGGTTCTCACTGAACATTGATGTAAATGGAGGTCTACGAAAAATGTTACAGAGTAGGGAAATTTGTGACGCCCGAATTATAAGTTTGTTTAAATAATATATTTTATTTAAATTTATTAAGTCGAAGTGATTAATTTTAAAAAAGAATATATTTTTTATTTAAATTTGTCACGTTAAAGTGATAAATTCTAATAAATATATATATATATTATTGAAATACGTCACGTCCATCTGACGAGTTCCAAGTCACTGTAGGAAATTATATGGATCTCAAATCAATTTTGAAGATGGTCTAATGGTCTAAATTTTTACCTACCTAGCATATTGGGTTAATTTTACTGCAAAATTAACCAATAACCCATACAAGTAAAAAATTGGCTCATTAGGTCATCTCCAAAATTAATTTGGGATATATGGCAAATGATACATTGTAGGGAAATTCACCACGTCCGTATGATGAGTTTGTCTAAATAATATTTGTTATTTAAACTCATCACATCGACGTGATAAGTTGTAAAAAAGATTTTATTAAAATTTATTACGTCAGAGTGACGAGTTCCAAGTCACTGTAGCAAATATTGTGGATTCCAATTAATTTTAAAGATGACTTAATGACCAATTTTCTTTAACCCGCCTAGCCTATTGAGCTAATTTTACCATTAGCGTTAGGTAAAATTGACCCAATAGGCCATACGGGTAAAAAAATTGGCACATTAGATCATCTCTAAAATTAATTTGGGATGTGTCAAATGCTATAGTGTATGTAAACTCGTCATGGCCGCCACACGACCTCCACGAGTCCAAATACACGACTTACGTTAGTCACGTAGTCAGTTCTTTCTTCCTAAAGCTCAAAGCTAAACAAAACGCTGAAGCTGTAGCAGACGACAAAGATGATGGTGTTTGCAGATGGGAAACCTTGGCAAGGAAGTTTCGCGAGCAAAGCAAATTTCCTCGCTCTGAAGGTAAATAAACACTTTGCTTAACTTCCATTTTCCAATGTTTCAATCTCCAGAATTTAGGTATTAAAGAAGATAATAGTAAGTCTAAGGTTGAAAGTTGAAGTCAACAAGGTATATGCTAGTTAAGGATGACATAAATTTGCTCTATTTTTTCTGTATCAAGTGTATTGGTTAATGCATGCCTTATGGATATAATGTATTTGTTTATCATGTAACATTGTAGGTATCCCGGAGTGCACACCGGCTCAAATGGATGGCACGTGGATAGTTTTTAACAGTTTGAATGTCGGTAGTGGTACCCGTAAGCGGAGATCGGTAAGGGCTACCGGCGAGTGGTCCAAGCAGAAGCAACAACGGGTCAAGCCTGCCGTTGTGCAACATGGGCGTGACTGGGGTGGACGTCCCCCTCTTCCTCCTGTTACCATTAATAGGACCACTGCTCATACTACATCGGTCCCTGCTGTTCAGAACGTATCTTGGCCGCATTTTAGTGCTTATGTTGGCAGCTCAGGGACTGTCGCTACCACCACGATGGTTGCGTCGACTGTTAGCAACACTTCATTGGCACCAGTTCGATGCCAGATTCCGAGTGCTTGGAATGCTAAATGTATGCACTTATGTTGCTTTTATCATCATTAAGTCATTTGTCTGAATATTTTTCTTGTGATTGTAGGTCCTGCTGTGTCCATGCCCCTGCCGGGGACTAATGTGGCTGCTGGGACTCTACCTGTTTCAGGAACCAGGGTCGTGGGTGAGCGAGTTGGCGACAATGACCCTTGCATATCTGCGTTGGGAGCACTCCTCTCCAATGCACAAGATCAATGGCGCAAATTGGCTAATCAGCTAGGGCCAATAACCGAGGAGCGATGTAGATTGACTGATGCCGTGAAGCTAGCTGCTAAAGATGTCACCAAGTGGCAAGAGAAAGCCCTTAAGTGTGAGCATGAGGTTAAAAAATGGCAGGCAATCGCAGATAAAGCCAAGGCAGCTACGGGAAAAGCTGAGAGCGAGGCCCTCTCCTTTAAGAGTCGGGTGGAGCTGCTAGAGGTAGAAAACAAGATATTGGGGAGTGAGAAGAAGGAGCTGCAGGGGCAGCTAAATAACCTTCAGAATAGGCATAATCAAGATGCTATCAGAAAAAGGAGTTACTGGAACTACTAAAGCGAAAAGATGAAGCCATGAAGGAGCAGCTGCAGAGGAAAGATGATAAATTAAGGCAGCGAGACGAGCACATTGTCAAGTTGAACCAGTGGATCGGTGGCATCCGCTCTTTTGGACCAACAGTGAGGGATAGCACCATTTGTGCCATCCAATTACACTGTGGCCCGTTAGACTTGGTCGGCGTCGACTGGCAATGCTGCTGGAATGCTGTAAGGGAGGGATTGAAGTTCGATGTGATGGAGCCCTCGGGTGATGCTTGGATTAAATTTAAGGATGACATGAGAGATAAAGCCTTGCAGCCTCCTGCCACTCCTCAGGTCGAAGAGCCGGAATTCGTTTCCGAGGATGAGGATACTATGGCTCTTTAGGATACTGCTGCATTGAGAGTTCTGCGTCGGTATCGGACCCTGCCAACGTTCCGACCATCAATTCTGCTGCTAATGTGGATCTTCCTATTACCTATCGTCATTTTGTTGATCATCCTACTACCTACTGTAACAGATTTCGTAACTTGCTAACTTGTATTGGATGCCCCCAAGTGAGGGATCACACTTAAGACATGGTCACTTTTGTTTTTAAATTAAGACATGGTCATTTCGGTTAACTGTCGTTAACAGTTAATAGATTATGTGATGTGGTATTTTATTATAATCACACATTTAGTCCCTATTATTTACATAATATCTCAATTTAGTCATATTTAATAAATTAAGATAAATTTAATCCTCCAATCGAATTATGTCATGTGTCACTAGTGCCACATGTCGCGCCACAAGTCATCATTCGATTGAAGGACTAATTTTATTTAATTTAGTTCTACTTTTAGTATATTTTATGTTAAAATATTTTAAAGTTAAGATAAGAATAAAATATATTAAATTAAAATAAAGTTAGTCCTCCAATCAAATAGTGACACATGGCATCATTCAATTGGATTATTAAATTTACTTTCATTTATTAAAAGTAAGATTAAATTGAGAGAATATATAAAATAATAGGGGCCAAATGTGTGATTATACAAAAATATTTAACTATAATGAACTCATGGTGACCCTATCTTAATTAAATAAAATCAAAATTGACCATATATTTTTTAAATTAGTGACGAAAAGTGGACAAAACATTAACATAAGTGATCAATTATGTAATTAACATGATATTTTAAGTAAAATTTGAATAATAAAAAAATCGATTTAAATAAAATAATTAAACATTTAGATCGGACTTGATGTCAGATTCCATGGCCCAAATGAGCAAACCATGACGGTAGTGCAAAGCCTTCCACACAAGGGCCCTGGGTTCTTCAATAGGTCCAATGTTCATTAATGGAGGCTTGATTTTATAGGGATCCTTCGAAGACCTTGAAAACCTTCGCATCTCAGTCGTCTGTTTGTTAGGTTTCCCCCAAAACCCACCCTGCAGAAATCAGAGAAATGGACGAAGAAACCAGAGGGAAGATAAAGAAGACGGTGACCGAAATACTGGAAGAAGCCGACATGAATGAAATGACCGAGTACAAGATTCGAAAAATCGCTTCTCAGAGACTCGAACTCGACCTCTCCGAGTCCAAATACAAGGCTTACGTTAGGCACGTCGTCAATTCTTTCCTCGAAGAGCTAAAAGCTAAACAGGAAGTCGAAGAAGCTAAAGTTGGAGCTGCAGCAGGCGACCAAGAGTTCGATGATGATGGTGATCTCATTATTTGCAGGGTTCGTTTCGTTCTTTGTGTTTTCTGGAAAGGGTTTTGATTTTTTTTTTTTAGATTCTGTTTATTATTTTGCTGTGTTCTCTTGGCAGCTATCTGATAAGAGAAGGGTGACTATTCAAGATTTCAGAGGGAAAACCTTGGTTTCTATAAGGGAGTATTACAAAAAGGACGGCAAAGAACTTCCTAGCTCTAAAGGTAGAATTAAATCCTCTGCTTAGCTTCAATTGTTAGTTGTTTCAGGCCAATTACAGATGCTAATTTTCCTGGATTGTTGCTGTTGTGAGCTACCTGATCAACAACTTTGGTGCCCCAATCTGCTTGACTTGTGATTGTGGCTGATTATGTGCTGGTCTTGTGATGTTGCAACAAGATGTTCACTTGATTTCTGCCTACCGTTTCGATTTTTGAATGTACCCATGTATCACGCTACTTAATCTGTGCCCTGTTACTATTATTTTCCCGAGTAGCCCTGTTCTGCTTTTCTTTCTGTTTCTCGTGTTTTTGGGTCGGTTTTGCAGGAAAAGTGAGATGATTTCAAACAGTATAGTCTTTTGCTAGTATGCTAAAATGAATATATATTTGAATTGAAATGTAATTATTTGGTTTGTGAACATTATGCCAGCTTATGCTTGGTATTTCTAGCCAAATTCTCCATCATAATGGTTGTCGAAACAATCACTCTCCTCCACTCTGTGGGTATATATCTGTTCCGTGCATCATTGTTGGTTATTCTCGTTAAAGTGTGAATATAATCTTCATGGTCGAACTTATTCCAAGTTTTAACATTTCCTTGTGATATTACTTTTTTGAATTTCATGTTTAGTGCTAACTTGTTTTCAATTATATGGTTTCTGAGCCTTGTGCCAGCTTATGCTTGGTATTTCGAGTCAAATTCTCCATCATAATGGCCGTTGAAACAATCAATCTCCCCCGTCTGTGTGTGTTTATGTGTTCCGTGCATCATTGTTGGATATTCTGGTTAGCGTGTGAATATAATCTTCGTGGTCGAACTTATTCCAAGTTTTAACATTTTCTTGCGCTATTACCTTTTGGAATTTCATGATCAGTGCTAACTTTTTTCAATTCCTCTGTTGAATCATTAGGGATAAGTTTGACCGAAGAACAATGGTCAACCTTTAAGAAGAATATACCGAACATCGAGGAAGCTGTAAGGAAGATGGAGTCATAGACCCTGTGAGAGCATGATCTAGGGACTGATAGTTTCATTTTGTGTAATTGTGAACCCAAAGTTAACCTCGGTGTCCATCTGGCATGGTGTCTATGTAAGTGCTGCACTTTTCGGAAGACCTAATTTCGGTTTCGATCCTGGGATTCTTTTGAATCTCATTTTGTAATGCCCGGCTAGATATACCCCTTGGAAATGATGTGGGATCGTTCAATCATGCCATTTCGTTGATGTTTGTCGAACAATGCATGTGAAATTAATAATTTTCATTTCAAAACACCATTTATCTTCGATGGTCATAAGTTCTACAATTTTGGTTAAATTAGGCTATTTGTTTTATAAAGGTTCAAATTATGCTGTGTTTGAGTTTTTTTTTAAAGTATGTGTTTAATGTTTCATTTTTTTTATCATAACCACCGATATCAGATCTATTGATTGATTACGGATGGGGTAATATAAAGACAAGGGCGATCCCACAACTTAGTTCAATCATTAGGATTTGAACCCTTAATCTTGTTTAAGGAATTTAGTATCTCATCCTACTAAATTAACTAGTTGTTAATGAATTAGTATTTCATTTATAATATTTTTAAGTTAATTGTTATTTTTTATTGATGGATTTTAAAATTTTGAATTTTTTATTTAGCTTGTCATTTAAGGTAAAATTAAAGAGTTGAGATTTTAATTTCACTTATAAATAAATGAAAAAAATTATAAATCGACTTGATTATTAAAAGGGCGTTTTTCTTGAAAAATCATCTTTTTCATTTAATATTCCTGATCAGACACCGTTCAGATTATATTTCCCGATCTAACACCCTTTGCAAGAAGGTGCGCCCCTTGCACCGTGTTTTACGCCATGTGGTGGAAGGCGTGTCCCCTGCATCGTGCCTTACCCAATGTGTAAAAAATTCGAGTGTTAGTTTTGTAAATATTTTTAAAGGAGTGCCGAATTTGTAATTAATATCTATTATGGTGATATTTGTGTAAAAACGTCAGTATTATTTATATGATATAATAGATCAAATATTGGTTTTGGTCACTCTACTATGTTCGATTTTAAATTTAGTCATTTTTTTATTTGACATACATTGATACTTTACTTCTATTAGGGATGAATAAATAAAAACAATTAACTAAATAAGACGAACATGTTTAAATCTATTATTTTTTATTTCACTTTAGTTTTGATTTCAACAATTCAAATTAAATTAAATTTTAAGTAATATTTCCTATGTTCCATTAAATATGTTCATTATTGGATTTTTAAAAGTAAAAAAAATTAAACATTGATAATGATTATATTAAAAAAAATTAAAAGTAAATTGTATAAAATATATATTTTAAAATTACATTGATTAAAGGTTTCTGAAATATATTTTTATGTTTTTATCAATAATAATTTTTAATAATAATGAGTCAAAGTTTAAAAATTTTGACCCTAAACCAATTCTAGAACATTCTTTTATTAGCTTGGGCTCTATATCTCCGAACTAATATTTTAGATATTTTTTTCGTCTCCTAACATTTTATAAGTTGTTATTCTCTAAAAATTTTAGAATTTACCCTTTGAATTATTGAAATTTCATTTTAATTAGATTTTATTTAAATCAAATTACAAGGTGGGCAAATAACTTGACAAGCTTCTACTATAATAAAAAAAAGAAACTTGATGAAACAAACCAATATTTAATTACTTGTAAAATATTCAGGTAGTGTGATGTAAATAATATGAATCCCAGTTTGAGGCTGGAAAAGGACAAAAAAAAAACTTGCAAATGGCACACGTGGCGAGTTGTGCGCACCTTCGACCACGTGGCGTAAAACACGGTGTAGGGGCGCGCCTTCCTGCAAAGATGTTAAATCGGGAAATATAGTCTGAACGATGCCTGACAGGAAAATATATAGGGTTAGAGTAATTTTTCAGGGAAAATGCCTATTAAAAGTAGATGTGTTTTTTTTAATAAATTTGAAGTGAATATAATATCAAATCTATTTAATGACTCTTGATAATTTGACAATAAACGTTTATATTCTTGTGAGATCTCAAAGAATAAAATTTCTAGACCATTGACGTCGCATGGTTTGTGTAAGATGTATTTTCAATTTGGGTTCAAGTATTTTTTTTATTTCTTAAAAACAAGTTAATTTTTATAATTTTTTTTTTGAAAAAACAGAGAATAAAAGAAGATGAACTGGGGTTATGTATCATATATTTAATGTATACATTTTTTTTCTAACGGATTATTTAATGGTAAACTAGGTTGATATTTTTCTTCTAATGTATATATTTAAAAAAGGATATTTAAAGTTAATAAATTAGCTGATCCTAATTTTCATATGTAATGAGTAAGGGGGAGGTAGGATAGTAGGCTGCCCCCAACGTCAGGTTGAGTGCAACTTCCGTGGGAGACCTCCGAATTATGAATTGCCTACCGTGTGACTTGATCCCATGATCCCAAGGTTAAGAGCCTTGTGCTCTACCAACTGAGCTGGACAGATAATTCGAATATTTAAAGTTAATAAATAATTTAAATATCTATTTAAATTAAACTGATAAATTAGGTTGACAAGGTTTCTAAAATGTTTGTACTTTGATCACAAAAACTAATTTATTTAGATACATAATTTCTTTTATATGTCATGAAGAAGCTTAACCATACATAATATTAATAATTATAGAGGAAAACAAAATTCGTAAACCTCACGTTTGAGGCACAGGACAGAAATCCACCTCACGTCCCATAAAACAATCGGCAAAGGCTATTGTCCAAGACAAATCTCGAATTGACGTGTTTGATATTGATAGGTCCACCTGGCTAGACCATTCACCACTCGATCATCTCAAGGCTAGAACAATAATCCCATCAATTTTCGAAAGGGTAAATTACAAATTTTACAACAAAACTTTTATCACTTTCCTATTTTGCTTATTGAATTTTAATTTTTTTTAATTTCTTTTCTGAACTTAATATATTAATTTTTTTCCATTCTGTCATTAAATAATTAACGGCATTAAAACGATATCATTTTGAAAGAAACAATTTTTCACCAAAATGACGTCATTTGCTTCTATGTAAAAGCCAATTTGTATCGCCGTTAGTGAGAAAATGGTTTGGTGACAAAAAAAAGAATATAATATATTAAATTTAGTGAGAAAATTGAAAATATTTAAAGTATAGTGAGTAAAATAGGAGGATACTAAAATTAAGTTACTACATTTATAATTTATCTTTTTAAAAACGTAATCGTCTAAAGTTAAAATACCCTTCAATTTCATCCATCACCACAAAATTCCCCACACCATTTCCCTCCATAAAACCACATACAAATCTCCACTCTCACAAAAAATATCACCTCGTTTCAAAAGAATGGGTTGCTCAGCCTCCAAAAGCAGCACCGCCACCGTGGATTACTACCGTCCGCCGCCATCGAGCTTCGCGGTGTTCGACGTAAACGCAATAGATGACCCGTGGGTGAAGGCGGGGCAACTACAGCAGGAGAATCAAGAGAAGCCGACGCATGTTCTGGAGGTGATTCTCGAGAAGCTCAATGCCTTGGAAGCTGCTCCTTACTCTTGGGATGAAGTTAGCAAAGCCCTAGAAGACCTCAAGCCGGCCATTAACGACGATAACAAGAAGCCCCAGGCTCCCACATCGCCGCCAAAACCGGCAAAGCAAGTCATCAAGAACCAGCCTCGTAAGAGCTTGACTTTTCACACCATATAAGAGTTAGACGCGAAGCTGTCATCAAAAGAATCAAAACCAGCTGCAAACGAGTTAAAGAAAACCGAGTCAATGCCAAAAGAGGTGAAAACTACACCGACCGAGTTAAAAAAACCCGGAGGCGCGAGTTTCGGCTCAACCAGTAGCGTCCAAGTTAAAGGATAACATATTCATAGTAAAAAACAGGGAAGAGAGGGAGAAAGAAGGGAGGGTGGCGAATTACGATAAGATAATGACCAAACGAGACCCGTTAAGCGAGTTCCCGTAGATATGCCCGCAGGGAGGGAACGACATCGTGGTGATTTACACGACGTCGTTGAGGGGTGTCCGGCGCACGTTCGAGGACTGCAACAAGGTGCGGGGGATACTCGAGGTCCAACGCGTGGTGTTCGAAGAGCGGGACGTGTCGTTGCACGGTGAGTTCTTGAGTGAGTTGCGGGAGTTGGTAGGTGACGAAGCGAGCGTGCCGAGGGTGTTCGTTAAAGGGCGGTACCTCGGCGGAGCTGAGGCGGTGAGCGAGCTGAACGAGACGGGGAAACTCGGGAAGATACTGAGTATAGGACGAGTCGATAGAGGAGTGGGGCGACTGGCTTGCGGCGGCTGCGGCGGAGCAAGGTTCGTGCCGTGCGTCGAGTGTGGCGGCAGCTGTAAAGTAGCGGCGGTGAGCGGGGAGAAGTGGGAGCGGTGTGGAAAATGCAACGAGAATGGGTTAATCCATTGTCCAACTTGTCTATAGTGCTTTTCAATTGCATGGTTAAGTTTTTGGGTAAAATTCTCCCAATAGATCTGGCGGGTAATAAAAGTGGTCCATTACACATCTCCAAAATTATTTCAATATCTACTATATCTGTTACAGTGATTCGAGGGATAAGTTTTAATAAAATATATTTTTTTATTAAAATTTATTAGTTTGATATAATAAATTTTAATAAAAAAATATATTTTATTAGAATTCGATACATTAACGTGATGAGTTTGAATATAAAAATATTATTTAGATAAACTCATCATGTGGACGTGACGAGTTTACTTTGTACTGTAGTATTTACGTTAGATTTCAAAATAAAATCTAAATTAGCCTAATTTACTAAATTTTTTATCTGCTTGAATTATCGGGTCAATCCAACTTTTTCTTTTTTAATTTTGTTTAACCGACGACGACACTAGTTTTAATGTTGGTTATCTCCCGTCGACTTTTTTTTTGTTTTTAATAAGAATAATTATGTCTTTGTGACACATTCTCTGCGTTTATGACACTTTTATATATGCTTTTGAGGTATTTTTCTCTTCCTTTTAGTAGCATACGGTTTTTTGCAGTTGTTTTTGTTTATATTTTTTCTCAGGTTTGGATTTGACATCACCACGACTGATCATGATAGTACTTATTTGTTATCATGATAATCTTCTATGCTTTAAACCATCGAATTAATTTGGATATGCGTTTTGCGTTCGCAGATAATTTTCTCTCGTCGTTTGACTCGGATTTACGATTTGTCGGTAGTCTTTAAGTAGCTTCATCCTCATTTATGGTTCATTTATCGATGTAGTCAGATATGTTCGTATCTTTATTTTATTCGAGTTTTTTTTAGGTTTTTTAACTTTTTCTTTATTTGGTCCTTATGTGATCTAGGTGGTTAGTTTTTATCTAAATGATAATAGAAAAATATCATAATTATATTTTATGTTTAAAATTATGCTGGTAAATCTTTATTGTACTTAAACTACATATTTAATATTTAAACTCATCGGCCTCAATCCAACCGTCCACTTTTCTTAATAAAATTTAGGATAAATTACAAATTTAATATTTAAACTATCAGTTTTTATCTGTTTTAGTACTTAAACTTTCAAATAATTTTAAAACTATACCTAACTTTTTAGTTTTTATTTCATTTTAATACCTAACTGTTAAAAACTTAACTCGTTTAGTACTTAAACTGTCAGTTTTGGTACCTTAAATTTCAATTTTTTTTTCAAAATTTAATGTTAACTTTTGAACGGGATACTAAAATGAAACAAAAACTAACTTTAGCTATGATTTTGAAAAAAATGAAAGTTTAAATACTGAAATAAATCAAAATTGATAGTTTAGATACTAAACTCATAATTTACCATAAAATTTAATTATAGAATAGAATATAATTTGACCGATTGTTTTATAGATAATATATTCTAAACTTTTCTATGATGGTCCAAACACCAAAGGCATCTTAATACATATTGGCAGCCGCCAGCACTTGGCCCTGGTGAATAATTTTCCATCCCACACAAGTCAGCCACATGTACTTGACTTTAAAAAGTAATAGGGTAAAGTATAATAAAGATCATTGAATTATATCAAAATGGTCATTTTAAACGCTAAATTTTTATATATTATAGAATAGTTAATATCTTTAAAATAATTATTAAAATTTATTAAAATGATCATTAAATTTATTGAACTATTTTTGAATTTGAGATATTTCTCAGTGTTTATTGTTGAACTTTGGAAAATTTTAATGTGTTAAAGAAAATATAATAATTATATGTTAGTTACAATGGATCGATATAAATTTATAGGGTGAAAGATTTTTAATACACCCCTTCCCATCTAGTTGTACTAATGTGAAATTAAATTGTACGAACTTCATTGAATAAATAAAAAATTATTAATTTTTTTTATTATTATATATAACAAATACTTTTATAGTAATTTAACAAATTTAGTGACTAATTTATAATATTTGAAAGATTGAGGACTAAATAACTACAACAGACAACAATCATATATCCCGACAAAATCCGTGACTTCCTATTTAGAATAAGACCCCGGCAGCGTCGAAGGCTTTTGGTAAACAAACACAGTCCATTTTTTACCTATTTGTTTAATCTGCCAACAAGCATGGAGGAGCCCCGCCGAAGAGAGTCAACCCCCACAAACTCCGCCCATGCTCCTCCGCTACTTCACACCCTTAAGCCATCCCGCTGGACGGTTCCGAACCGTGTGTTTGCGGCGGTTTATATTTATGCCATCACAGCTTTGTTCTACCGCCATTTACAGACACTCCACCACTCCAAAACTCTTGTTTCTATCACCGTAACCCTAGCCTTGTTCGTCTCCGATCTTATTCTGGCCTTCCATTGGGTTAGCGCACAGTCTTTCCGCGTGCGTCCGGTTCACCGTAAAGAATACCCCGAGAACATCGAGAAGTTGTTGGAACCGAGTGATTTCCCCGGGTTGGATGTTTTCATTTGCACGGCGGATCCGTACATGGAGCCGCCGACGAGAGTGGTGAACACGGCTTTATCGGTGATGGCCTACGAGTACCCGACGGAGAAGATCTCGATCTATGTATCGGACGATGGAGGATCGGCTCTCACTCTCTTCGCTTTCATGGAAGCTGCTAAATTTGCCGCCCACTGGTTACCTTTCTGTAGGAAGAACGAGTTAACGACAAGGAGCCCCGATGAATATTTTGCATCAAATTATTCACCAAGCTCTGAAACCGGCAAGATTAAGGTAAACTATATCTATATGTATGGTAAAGTGTAAAAATGGTTTTAAATACTTATTAAGTATTTCAACTATTAAAAATTATAAAATGATTATTTGATTATAGAATATTGCTTCATTAATTACTTGACTATTAAAAGTTATAAAATGATCGATCGACTATTTATTATATTCTAAACTTGTCATTTTTCTTTTAAAAAAGACAATTTAGACGTTAACATGATGATTAATATATAATAGTCGTTTAAGATTTTGAGATTAAATTTTATCATATTACAGTCAACATATTAAAGTTTAATTGAGAATACCATCTGTTTTTAACGGAAGAGGATGAGTTTGAAACATAATAAATAGTCATATAATCATTTTGTAACTTTTAATAGTTAACGATCTCATTAAAGTAATATTCTATAATCGAATGATCATTTTTTATCTTTTAATAGTAGAGAGACCTAATAAAATAAAATAGGTACGAGACAATTTGTGTATTTTACTCATATATATATATATATATATATATATACACACTGTTATTTTTACTTAATTAAGGAAACTAGGTACCTTTTATAAAACAGAGAAATTGCAATTTTCACTGAATAGTGGAACTTTTGTCCCAAGTCCTAACAAAATTTATATAAGAACTAATCATATATATATATATATACACATATGTATGTATGTATATTGTTGCAGATAATGTACGAGAGCATGCGAGAGAGAATCGAAAACGTTGTTGAAACCGGAAGAATCCATGATGAATACATAACCAGGGACCAAGATCGTCAGGCATTCACTAAATGGACTACTTATCAAGGATTCACCCGTCAAAACCATCCCTCTGTGATCCAGGTTCTGCAACACAACCATTTAAACCGGTCGAATTTTTCGAGTTCGATCCCGAAAACAATCGATAAATGCCAGTCTACCTAACAATGTTGTTATTCGTCAATGATCAGGTTTTGTTGGAAGAAAACAGAGACATTACAGGGCATTGTTTGCCGAACTTGGTTTATGTCTCTAGACAGAAGAGCCCCACATCTCCTCACCATTTCAAAGCTGGTGCCCTCAACGTCCTGGTATATATACGCATAAATATTTGATTTTTAATTGAGATATTCTTTTAATGGTTAATCCTGTGTTTGAAGGTTCGGGTGTCGGCTGCGATGACAAATGCACCGGTAATTTTAACCTTAGACTGTGACATGTATTCGAATGATCCTAGGACACCCTTCCGTGCTCTGTGTTATGTGCTAGACCCTGCTGAAATCCAGAACCGATTGGCCTTTGTTCAGTTTCCTCAAGAATTCCATGGTCTAAACGAAAGTGATATTCATGGTTCCGAGCATAGACGTTTGTTTAAACTCAACCCTTCCGGTCTTGACGGACTATCCGGACCAAATTATCTCGGAACCGGTTGTTTTATTCGCCGGCGAGCTTTGTTAGGTGACCCGTCGACTTTGGTTCCACCCGTAATAAAGGAAATAAGTCCAGATCATATTGCAAACAATCCCATTACTGCTCCATTGGTTCTCGAATTCGCTCACAGAGTTGCTGGATGCAATTATGAAAACCAGACCGAATGGGGCTCTACGGTAATCCGCTAATCCGATTAAGTCCAAGTAATCTATATTCCATTGCTTTGAGAAAAGCCTGATGTATTTATATGTGTGTAAACAATTATCTTTGCAGATTGGTTTTAGATATGGGTCGCTGGTGGAGGACTTCTTCACAGGTTTTAGACTGCAATGTGAAGGGTGGATGTCCATATTCTGCAACCCTGAAAGGGCTGCATTTCTGGGAAATGCACCCATAAACTTCCGCGATTTTCTTGGCCAGAACAAGCGGTGGCAAATCGGCCTCCTCGAAGCGGCTTCTTCACGATACAGTCCAATAACTTTTGGTGTTAAAGCTATGGGGATGTTCATGGGGTTAAGCTATTCATTCTATGCATTTTTTCCAATTGCGTCAATTTCAGTCACTACATATTCCTTTCTCCCTCAGCTTGCTCTCCTCAACGGACTCAGTATCTTCCCCAATGTACATACATACATTATACATTCATACATACATACATACATACATTCATACATACATACATACATACATACATACATACATACATACATTTGCTTCATCGACTGAGGTTTATAATGATAAAGTTGCCTAATTTTCAGGTCTCTGAACCATGTTTTATCCTTTACACGTTCTTGTTTCTTGGAGCATACGGGCAAGATTTCTTGGAGTACACGGTTGCTGGTGGGGGGACAGTACGTAGGTGGTGGAGTGATCAGAGGATTTGGATGGTGAAGGGACTTTCGTGTTCCTTGTTTGGGTTAATCGAGTTCTCGCTTAAATCGATCGGGATTCAGACTCAAGGTTTCAACGTGACCAGCAAGGTAGTCGACGAGGAGCAAAGAAAACGATACGAGCAAGGGTTGTTCGAGTTCGGAGTGCCGTCAGCCATGTTTGTGACAATAACCATGGCTGCAATAATCAACTTATGCTCATTCGTTTATGGACTCGTGCATTTGGTCAGTGGCAAGGAAGGGTGTTTTATGCAATTGGTGTTATCAGGTTTGATTGTGCTGAATTGCCTTCCAATTTATGAAGCCATGGTGTTGAGGACCGACAAAGGGAAAATGCCTGTTAGAATTTCCATTACTGCAACAATTATGGCATTGGCTGTTTATTCGATAGCTTCTCTCATTCTCAAGTGATATGTGCTAGTTATTTTTTGTATTTAAGATACTACTCTATTGAGTCCTTTAATTATTAAAAGTTATAAAATTGATCCTCGATTATAGAAAGCTGTTATGTTAAGTCCATCGACTGTTAAAAAATAAAATAAAATATGGCTACATAATCATTAATTTATCTCCAAGGTTATATTTGGACTTAAGATGCTCTGCACGTTCTCTAGCTGCTAGCGCCCTGTGCTTCCACCGGGCAAGATTAGGGTCAAGAATCATCCTCTCAAGCACAATGGCATTCTCGATCAAGAACATACATAATTCAGTATCAATAGTTTTCCCAAAGAAACCAGTTATTTCCACCACCTTCATTCTATGACTATGATGAAGGTGTCTTCTACCTTTCCTAATTTCCCTTTCATCATTCCTAGGAAGCCACCTCAACTGCAACATCCAAAGAAAATTATGTATACACTCTTTCATTGATTGACATTATCAGAATCTGTCAAAAAAGGGTTCGACATTGTCCCAATTACCGTACGATTACGCAAGACCATATTGCTTCTTCATTGCTGCAAACATCACAGATCAGACAGGGATAGGAAAAACCTTTGACAATATGAAGTTAATCAAAATTCTTAGTTTAGTAGCATTGTGTGTGTCTATACTATGTCAATCCATTAATTCATAAAAGGAGAGAATGGAATTCCTTGAACAATTGATTCTAAAAGTGTGTCCGCGTTATCAATAACCAAGAAAGATTCTAAACAAATATCATTTCATAATCACCTTAGAAAGAGGAGAAGAAGGTGATAGTAGTGCCTGTAAGAGATATTAAACGACCATTATAAAACAAAGTTAAGAACAAGAATTGAGAAATGATTGTAAAAAGAATAATCAACATTAGTGCTTGTTCATGTCATTTGTTGTTGTGCTGTTGTCGTTCCCAACTGTTTGGTCGATGAGGCCGCTCGGGAGGATGGAAAAGCGGCGGTGAATCTGATGAAGTTGACCCTGATTAGGCAGTATTACCTTGTGGTCACATCTGCTATATATTTACTTTACTCGGGTTGTGGTTTATGCTTAATTTGGAGACGATTGCTTCGTGCAAGTATTTTTGGACCACTGTGCTGGCCGGGGAGTTGGCCACACCTTGTCTATTTAATGAATTATTATGGGAGCATGTTGTAGTATGATCTACTGTATTCGTTTCATGTTTCTATATTTTTTAGGTCATATAATACATTTGTACATGAATACTCGAGTTCTCAAGGTAGAATATATGAATTACACACGAAATTTTAAATTCAATAAACTAAAAATTATAATAATTATAATATATTTATTATTTAAATTTTATAGTATAAAAATTATATTTTAAATAATTTAAAATTTATCACCTTTAAATTATTAAAATAATAACAATATCAATCAACATCGAGACAATCTAAGTAAAAGGAGATGTGATAAGTGAGACATTTTAACCTTCTGCTTTGGATATTGTTGTCGAGACGACTATAATTAACAATAATGCTAACCGAATTTTAATGTGAAAAGAGGGTTCAATGCGTGCTAATGGTGTAAACAGGGGACGAGTTTCGACCCACGAGTTTCGACCCGATCCTACCTTATAGTGCTGTGCTTTTTTTTTTTTTAAAAAATTAGGTTCGTGTCGAGTCAGATTAGATTTTGTTAGGGAGCGTGTTCGGGTGGGATCGAGTTTGTGTTTATGGTGAAAAATCTGACCCGACTTGATTCAAAAAATAATATAATTTATTTTTCAATTATATACTTATTTTATCTAACAAAATTAATATTTTTTTATAAATTTATTTGTTTTGAGCTGTGATAGATTCGGATTTTATCTGAAAATGTCGGGTTGGGTAAAGCCACCCTAAAGTCAGGTTTTGGGTGTATAATATATATTTGTTAGGTTAAGTCGGTTTGACGCAAAACCCGACCCCGTCCCTAGGTGTAAATCAAGGCTTTGTGATAATGAAGGTGCAGGTTGGTGGAGGAGTCAACATCTCCGGTGCTGCAAAGCAAACAGAAATCTTGGTCTGATCGGCGTTTACTTTGGTGCGGTTGCTCATGGAAAAGGAAGATTTAGATTCCCTCTACAGCCCGATAGAATTTCTCGGCCGCTCATTTTAAAAGCAATCGAAATTCTTCGTTTAATCTGCGTGAATAATGGGCCGCTGACAGCTCGCTAGCTATTGCTCCAAACAAAAAGATTTGGATTTAGATTCTGTCAGCCTGGAAATTTAAGGTAAGGCAGAGATGAAATTCAGATCAAATATTCGAAGAAATGATATTATTTTATATTCAAAAAATTCAAGAAATAGACTGAACAAAACCGATCTTACCTCTAACTATTGAGTTTGAATTCTGAGAATTAGTTTCTCCTAAAATATTTTCTTCTCCTATATCTTGTTCAGCTAGTTACTTTTCTTGATATTCTTTACGGGTTTGGATTATTACATTGAGGAAATAAGTATGCAAATCATATAGTTCATGCCAAGGTTAGTAGATCTACAGATTGATCCTGCAGGAGCAATGGGAACATGTCAATGTGCTATAATATAATTTCTACCTCATAATCACAAAGGTCCAAACTTCAACTGCCAGCTCAATTTGATTATCCTTCCATTTGATTGATTAATATATCATTATAAAAACAACCCACTAGCCCTCTTCAAAACACTATAAAACCCCTTCTCCCTTCCCTCCATATTCCACATCCTCCGACACTTGTACTTTTAGCTCTAAGCCAAGTAGGGTTTTGAGAAGATCAAAATGGCCTCAAAAAGATCGGCTTCCATGGCCCTCTTTTTGGCACTCAACATCCTCTTCTTTTCCCTTAGCAGTGCTTGCAACTCCTGTAACAACCCAGATATTTTCAAAATAACATTTAATTGAAATTGGAGGTTTTAATTATGAAAATCGGTAAATTGTGGGGACTAAATTGAAAGATTTTAAAACTTGGAGCTTGTTTTAAAGTTAAAGAAAATTCAGGGACTAAGTCCTGAATTTACCCAAAAAAATTAGATAAGTTTGGGGTTATATGATATATACGTGTGGTTTCTGTTTCAAAAACAGAAAACCACACTCCCAAATTCCTTCCCCCTACGTCGGTTTCCGACTTAGATCCCGACGTCGTCCGAATTCCGATCGTCGTTTTGAAATCACCATCGTGTTCGTTATCGAGTCAGGAACAAATCCTTCAATTTAATTGAAGCGAAACGCTGCCAAACGTCGGGAATTTACAGTCAAAGTCTCGACGTTTTTGTTAGCTCTATCGCCGGGAAAATCTTAAATTCACCTCCGATCGTTGCTCCGTTTTCGACACCTCCCACACCATCGTGTTTCTTGCGCCGTTTCGAGTCCGCCGGTGTCAACCTTGGTCTCCGGCGGCGATGGCGCCTGAGGAGGTGGAGCAGTCAAAGATTCATCCAAGTTGAAATCGAGCTCTCCGCCGTTCAAAAATTTGAACCGATCTTTGTAAGTATCTCGAAATCGCTCAAAATAATTTTTAGAAATTTTTTCGTAATTTTTAGACCCCCGGAGGAGGCCTCACGAGCCACACGCGCCGCCGTAGAGAGAGTGAGTGGCTGAAAACCGGTCTGACCCGACCCGACCCGACCGTTGACCGTGACCGTTGACCTCCTTTGACCAAAACTTAAAATGGCTTTGACAGACCATTAACCGACCGTTAATCTTTTCCGAGTATACCTATTCTGATAGTTTTCGACGTCCCGAATCCGTTTCTGAAGTTCGTTTCGTCAAATTCGAACCCGAAGGCCTCCAAATCGACGGTCAAAGTGGTTGACTTTGACTTTGACCAAGAATTTAAATTTTCGAAAAGTCATACTTTATGTTTTTCGACGTCCTGATTCCGATTCCGCAATCTGTTTGGCCAAATTCAAACCCGAATCCTCCAAATTGATAGTCAAACCCTGAAAATGCTTATATACTTAAGAATTTTAGCTTTGAACAATTAAGTAGGATTTTGGGGCTGATAAATTATTATTGTTTGAAGGTACAAGAGGCTCTCCGGATCGTTCGACAGCTCGACCCAGCTCTTCTAGATCAGTTAAACCACGTATTCCAGTATTCACCCGTAAGACCCGTAAATTTTATTATTTTAAAGATTTATTTATGTTACCCATTAGTAATATAGTGTTATTATAAATTAGGTTCGAAAACTGTAGCAGAGCGTGGTGAAACCAGCAATCAGTAGATCTACTATTTAAACCTATTATCGAGGTGTGTTCCCTAATTATTACTGAACTGTTTTATTGGTTTTAATATGAGGTACACTGAGTTCTTTAATTACTGTTTTATTGATGCACCAATTTAATGTGATGATTTATGGAATTTGTGTCACGGTGCAATTGAACTTTTGGATTGAATTACAATAGTATAGCTCTGATCAAGCTAATAAACAGAATGGGCCTAATGTGACTCTTGGGGCCCCAAGATACATTAGGTTGGCTTCCCTTGCTGTGTGCTTAGGGTAAGCTATATGGACTTGGACTTACGGGCTTAAGGATACAAGCTATAAAAGCTTATCCTTAGGTTGGCTTTCTTTTTGCTGTGTGCTTAGAGTAAGCTATATGGAAAATAGTTTTGGAAATTACTGATGGTGTACAAGAAAAGAGTTTAAACTATGATTTTCAAAAGTTAAACTCTTTTATGAATTTATGAGATTTACTGGACTATGATTTGTTAAATGTACATATTGTGATTTTAAGGTAATATTGGGACACACCGAGCCTAGCTCACCTTTCGAAAATGTTTTTCCCCCTTTCAGATATTGTTGGTTAGATACATCGGTTCGAGCACTTGGAGGATCAACACATCTCTTGAAGTATATCTGATTGTAATGTTTTATCTTGCAAGTTGACTTTATTTTGGTGACATGGACCTTATTTTAAAGTATTGTATTTTATGATGATGACACTTTTGTTATTACTGTTTGGTTTATCATGATTTTGATTTTGAAGACCTGTTTTAAATTAATTTATTACTTATTGGTATTATATTTACAAGTTGGGTTTTGATAGTATAATTTATTTCAATATATTTATAATGTGATTTTACATTGATTGAATAACGGTTTCAGAAAATGTCTTTAAGAATCATGTATGTGATCCACTAGACTTAGTCGAAATGCATAGGCCGGGTCTAGGGGGTTACATTTATTGGTATCAGAGCTTTTAGTTTTTAAACCGCGGACTGTGTATGAGTCCACATTGAAAATACAGTTTTAGAAATATTTTACAAAACACGTTACTAAGGCCATGTCACAAAGTTATTAAGATTTTAACTGTGTTCGAGACTCCAAGTGCTTGTCTAACCGTAAGTTTTATCTCCTGTAGTAAACTCAAGATCCACAAAAAAAATGAGTGCTAGACGTGGTCTTCGAACTGGCCGTGGACGAGGTCGAGTGGCTAGATTTGTAGATCCGATCGATGAGATACGGGTAGATCCCCCACCTCCGATAGGTGATCATGCTCCTACGACCCCAACGAATCTGTCTCATGCCGCTGGTATTGGCATGACTACACCGATCATATGAGCGACCGATATTGAGTCAGAGTCTACCGGAGTTGCTTTGGATGAGAATTTTAGTAGACAATTTCTGCAGTTGATACAGGGAGCAGTCAGAGCTACTGGTGTTGTATCAGAGGTTCCTATTTCGCAGACTTTGATTGCCAATGGAGTTAGAACTTTTGGGGGACATATTAGTGGAGCTCCTACTGAAGCAGAGGATTGGCTCCAGGATACAGAGAGACGCATGGATCAGTTGGGTTTGGACTCAACTAAGAGATATCAGAGTGCTGTGGCGATGTTAGATGGCAATGCCTACACTTGGTGGGAGTCAGTAACCAGTAGTGTTCCTACTGATCGTTTGACCTGGAATTTCTTTAAGGATCGCTTCCGGAGCCGTTTTCTGGGAGAGCGCTACTTAGCTCAGAGACGTCAGCAGTTTCAAGACCTGGTACAGGGAGACATGACCGTTTCTGAGTATGAGATCGAGTTCTTGAAGTTGCTGAAGTATGGATTCAGTATGGTACCTATTGAGAGAGATCGATGTCGTAAATTTGCCCTTGGACTCAGATACGAGCTGCGTAGGCAAGTTGTAACCCATCAGGATGATATTTGATGTCTGGTGGGCAGAGCCAAAGATGCTGAAGAAGTGGAGGTTTTAGCTTCTGGTAGAGAGCGTGTTGATCATGAACGATCTAGGAAATTTTCAGGCCCTATTGAGTCATCAGCACAGTCCGGGAAGAGGACTCGTACTTCTGCCCCTCAGAGAAGCAATACACGTTTCAGGCTTGCAGCATCCTCACCGTTAGTTAGCAGTCGAGGCGGTTCCTCGTCGTATTATCATAGGTTCCTCTGTGAGTTTTGTGGTAAACAACACACATGAGAGTGTCGTACGAAGATGGGTCTTTGCTATCAGTGTGGATCTAGTGGTCATTTTCGGAGGGATTATCCTCAGCTAGCTTCGTTTGAGCAGACCGCTACTCAGACTCCTGTGCGTTCTCAGACTA